TCAAATAAAAATTTTAAGGTTTTGATGACAAAAAAGCTGAAAAAAATTATTTCAATAAAAATGAAATACACAGTTAAGCTATACACACTGATGTCTTATATGAATATTGGCCAGGTTGGACTCAGTCCAAAACCGGCTTATAGTATGGTGATGACAGGCATGCAGGGAAAAGTGGGTACCAATTTTATGAAATCAAATCCTCCTACAGTTTTCAACCCAGATCCCTGATACTTTACAAGAGTATTGCACATATTTTGAAGTTGTGCACCTGTTGTTATGAAAGTGTTTGAGGAAAGCTTTTCTCATTTTCCCAGACTTGGGAAAGTAGTTATTTTAAGCAAAATCTGTGAAAGAGGGTACAAGTTTTGTGTAATCATCTCCTCCTACAGATTTCAACCGAGATTCCTGAAACTTCACATCAAGATTGCACATATGTTGTTGTGCACCTGTTATTATGGAATTGTTTGAGGAAGTTTTTCCCATTTTTCAGCAAAATTAAGTCACAAATATTGCAACCCAGCTATTTGAGACTTTGTCCCATTTATTTTCTTGTATTTCTGACTCACTAACTTAACTATTCACATTAGAAATTTGTAAACCAACAAATTAAAAAACCCTATCCTTACATTATTACTTTATCATGAGGTCAGAAATGCAAAAATCATAAATATAAACTTGTGTCTCTTAAACATTAACCTCATCGTTAAATTAAGCAACATTCAAATATTTTTGAAACTTTAATAAAATGTATCATAATGGGCACTTATCTGTCCTGTTACATTATGCTAAGCCCATAATTTTCAAACATATTTCTATCATCAATAGTTTCCTCTAGTTATATTTCTTTTTACCTATGGAAACATTGTAGCCTTATACCTTTTTTATAATTAATATCGGTAAATAGAACATTTTGATGTTCAAGAGGTAATTATTATTTGGTTGGATATAAATATTTGGTCAGACTAAAAGCTATTTGTCAGAGACTTCAAAGTGGAAATAAGTCATTGAAAATAAAATTAATTGCAACAACAATAATAGGAGTTACTTCCCCCTGTTTAATGCAAACTATTAGCTTATTATTTTGATTAGCGATTATAAGTAGTAATAACTGTGAAATAACAGTTTGTTAATACCAGGAAGAATGAATGGGAATTAGTAGGCCAGTTAATTAGAAAGGTGATGAAATAATACAATAATGTTTTTGTCAATGACAGTTTGTTACGTGAAGTTTCACAAATAAAACAAAACTTTATTATATTTATTTTCAAAAGAAAAGCAGCTTAAGCAGTTTGAGATGACTAAAGGCCTTCCAATCTCTTGACAGTAATTTGTTGTATAAATTAGTGTCTATTTCATGATAGGGACAAATTTCATGTTGACATTGTTGGAGATTTAAATCCACATTTTTTATCGGGGAAACATGGATCGAATTAAAACATATAATCTTCCGTTATCACCACCACTGAGAGGACAAAATCTTTAATGACAGTCCTCATTTTTCAATTCAGATGTGTTTATTGAGATGTGAAATATATTACAATGTAACCAAAATGTAACGAAGTTGAATAAGTTGGCATAATAATCGAGAAAAGAATTTTTAAAAGGATACTTCATTGATGGGTGGCAGAAATGGAATTCGAGTAGAGTGTGGATCAGAAATAATCAACTGTACCATTGAAATAGGAGTTTTCAAAGATATTTCAATTTTTGTGCAATTGTCAGTTTTGCAGTTAAGTTAGCAATTAGATGTTTTTTGTGACTATTGAAAATTGATGGTGTATAAAATAGCCTTTTAGATCTGAAATTACAATTTTATGTTTTAACATTCTTATAAAAAGGCATTAGTTTGAGTAGTTTTGAAAATTTATAAACTGTTGCAACAAAGTGGACTTGAGAAATTACCTTATATGCAATATGGATAACGGTCTTACTTATTCCACTGATGATGTGAAATGTATGGAATTATTACATCGTTATCTCAGGTAGATATAATAATATCATTCTTATATAAGGTAATATCAAAATTATTCTATGAAAATAGAATGACATCAGTATGATCTCAGAACAAATAGAATGACTGCAGTATAATCTCAGTAAAAATAGAATGACTGCAGTATAATCTCAGTAAAAATAGAATGACTGCAATATAATCTCAGTAAAAATAGAATGACCACAGTATAATCTCAGTTAAAATAGAATGACTGCAGTATAATCTCAGTAAAAATAGAATGACCACAGTATAATCTCAGTTAAAATAGAATGACTGCAGTATAATCTCAGTAAAAATAGAATGACTGCAGTATAATCTCAGTAAAAATAGAATGACTGCAGTATAATCTCAGTAAAAATAGAATGACTGCAATATAATCTTAGTAAATATAGAATAATCGCAGTATGATCTCGGTAAAAAAGAATTACTGCATCACAGTTAAGATAGAAATACTACATATTAATTGAAGAACAAAATGTTTGGTATAAACAGCTAATTTATAGTTGTTGGAGGAGCATTTAGAAAAACAAGAGAAATCTTTGAAATTACTTCAGTTTGAAATCCTAAAAAAAAGTCCTAACAGATAAGATAGCAATCTTGCACTAACTTCTTTCTCTTATTTTTTTTTGGAAGTTTATTTTTTTCTCGTAAAAGGGTAAAAAAGATCAAGTTATACAAGACATAGTTTATAACTGTGTTAAAGATGGTTTATATATACTTAATTTTATAGTCTTGGTGATCATGCATTTATCATCAATTGTACAATCACATTGGTCAGACTATAGTTATTGTATTGAAATGCATATTGTTGTATTGCTATAATCTTTAGTTTTCTTTGCAGTGTTTTGTGTTCATGATTGCTTTTTTATCGTTTTTCTTTTTGGACATGGCATTTGCTTGGTTATCTTTGACATGTGGTTTTTTATAGCCCCTTGGTATCTTTTTCCTCCTTCTTTATGCCCACTTATGTTTAATAGGGTCAATATATGTGTTTTAGTCAGATAGTTTGTCTGTTTGTCCTGTATCAGGTTAAAGTTTTGATTCACCATGAATTTGTTGTATACGCAACTTGAACGTTAGTCCACATTTTCATTATGATCAGATGATGTGAACTTTGTAAAAAAAATATGCCAAAATATGGTTTTAACCTAAATTTTAATGTTCAGGTTATAGTTCTAGTTTACCATGTAGTTGTGGTCACATCAACTTGTAACTTTTTACATGAACTTTTTTAAATAGAAACCAATTTGGGTTGACCAAGATTCTGCAATTCAGTGAACTGTGATAGTGTGAACAGCACATGATGTCTTGTGGAAACATATTCTTTTTTCATACTTTAACATTTGCTTCGATTTGAAAATAACCAGATTATTTTTTTTAAAACTTAAATTCATAATAACAAATCTACTATAGCTATCTATTTTTAAAAAGAGCCCTGTTCATGATGACACTTGATATCCCCCATCCTTAGAAATTAAGCAATGATTATCCTTTTACATAAAGTACAAATTAAGGATTTACATGTCAAAGTTGCTTCTTAGGTCAGATTGACATGTAAATAAACCTTCAAAATATACTTCACTCCTTATTCTTAAATTACTTATTGACACATGCAAAGTTTATTTATCATTTATTTAAACATGGGCCTATACTATTTATATATAGTTTAATGATATAAATTTCATTGAGGTTTTTCTGGCCTTTGAAATGGTCATGGTCACTGTAATTTAATCAAGGGTGTTAATGTAACTTTACCTTTTTCTGAACAATTTACAAATATATATGAATTGTGTAAATATTTGATTTTGATACAAAAGATACAAAATTAGACCTGAAATCGACACTAGACATGTTTGGTATCCAACCTAAAAAAAAAAATATTAAAAGAAATGTTTTGATGGATTCATTTAAAATTTTAATGGGTGTTTAACTTATTGGAAAATTAAAGATAACTGAATCTGCAATATGCTTTAATAAAATATTTAGTTAAAGTGTAAAATATTAGTGCATATGCAGAATGTTTACATCAAGATTTTTTCCCTTCAAATACATTCTTTGTATTTTGAAATTCAATATGTGACATAATTATTACTTGTGGACATAGGCCAGGTAAAGTATTTTTATGCCCCACCTAAGATAGTGGAGGGGCATTATGTTTTTCGGTCTGTGCGTCCCTTCGTTCGTCCGTCTGTCCCCCTTCAGGTTAAAGTTTTTGGTCAAGGTAGTTTTTGATAAAGTTGAAGTCCAATCAACTTGAAACTTAGTACACATGTTCCCTATGATATGATCTTTCTAATTTTAGTGCCAAATTAGAGTTTTGACCCCAATTTCACGGTCCGCTGAACATAGAAAATGATAGTGCGAGTGGGGCATCCGTGTACTATGGACACATTCTTGTTTTGGATTGTCCTAGTTTGTTACTTAATTGATGAAACCCATCTTTAAACTAAATAGTTTAGGATTTCATCTCATGAACTTTTAAGTACATGACCAAATACCTTATTTGAGTAAAGTATTGAATTTTCTACTGATATTAAATATTTGTTGTTGTGTTTAGTTCTGAAATTTTTGTATAAAATAATTATTCATGAAATGAAAATATGGTAAATCATTGTCTTACTGGTCATTAAGGTTAACAAGGTAGGCATTTGTTGAAAAGAATTCAATTTTTTTTAATTTGGTTTCTGATTATTTTAACACATTGTTATTTATTTAAGTTTATTAAAATTATTAATGAAAATAAAATTACTACTAATTAAACTAGGGCACTGTAAATGGTTCTAAAGATTTAATACAAATCTGACCAAAATTAAACATAAAATCATTCTTTTGAAAATGTATACTATAAGATTAAAAAAAAAGCATGTTTCGAATGCCTGTTGGCATATGACTTTTTACCCATGTCCCGAGTCAGAATCTTAAAAAGTTATTTGATTTACAAGTGTTCACCTACTTTTTTATGCATGTATGTTGTATTATAATTTGCACAATTTTATTTATTTTTCCCCAGTGATGTAGAGAAATCTATTGACTCTTCAAAAGAACAGAAAAGGCGACCAATGTCTCTAGAAAGTATAGATATAACAGCTGATGATGACGATGAGTCCGTTGATATGGATCATGTTGCTGATCCTGAAAGGTATGGCGTTTATTGTGGTTTCAAAATCAAGACCTTTTGTTTCATATTTTTTTTTTTTTTTATTCTAAATTATTTGAAATATTTATTTTATTAAAAACAAATTGATTAGATAAAAGTCAAATTGTTTATTTGGAAATGTGGTGTATTGTAATAAACTGAATTAATACAGAAGGTGTTGACTAATTTTTTTGCAACTAATCAGATCACCTGGAATTATTGATAGACAAACATTTGTTGGGAATTGAATACAATAATACCTTTATGAAGCAGCCTTTTAATATAAGTTCACTTGAGTTTCACCTGAGCAAATTTGGTAACAACAGATATTTTAAACAGCTCTTCATTAAATTAAAAAAACTTGAATTAGATTGATTTGCCAAGTTGCAAGAACATTGGTTGATATCTGAAAAAAATTGAGTAAAATCTGAAACAAGTATAAAATAATCTTTGTCACTGTATGCATTTGAGCATTGTGACATCACACTTTCCTGAGCACAGATAATCATGACGTCACAGTAAAGTTGATGATGACGTCATCTATAGTGATGATTAAATTTTAATTTCTGCATGTTGTTTGAGCTTATTTTCCCGTATTTTTACTATGGAAACTATGTAAACAGAGTAATGGCAGCATAAAAAGTGCATGAGGTTGGTTGATAAAAGTATCAGCAGGGTGATAGGCTGAAAGTAAATGTTGTGTGGTTATGAATGAAATGTTGTTTACACTGCTGATTGCTTGTTATTATTTATTTTTTTCTTTGATAACCTAAGTGTACACTAGTCACTATTCTGATGATATCATTTATGGCCTTCTTTTACTAAGTGGTCCCTGTACTTTATGCCAAATTAGGGATAGGTTAGGTTAGGGTCAAGTAAGATAATATGTTGTGCATCTCATTGAGACAATTGTTCTGTTCTTATCGTCCTCACTAGTAAAGAAGATGTGTGTATGATTGTAGGAGCAGTCACTTTAATTTTGTGTGTAAAAAGTTGTGAAGCTTTGATCCATTTTTGATGCAAAGATTTGTGAACCTGATATATCCCAAAAAAGTCTATTGGATTTTATATTTTGTTCTGCACTGCTATCCTGAACAACTTCTCTCTGTTCAGTGTTCCTGCTCATTAGCCATTTCCTGATCCCTTTGTTAATAAAATACAAAATAGTTTTTGCAAAAGTAGTTCTCTTTTCCTTTATGAGAAAACTATCTGATACATCTGGTAAGAATTGTTGGGAGACAAGTTATATCATTCAATAACAGAATATCCTATAAAGTTGTGAGGAGTGAAGAATTTGCTCTTTGAAAGATGCCATTTGAACTGATGAATGTAACCTTACACTAATATCAATTTTATTTTTTAATAAAAAAAATTTTAAATTTCAATCATTACTAAAATTCACGTTGTGCTTAATCTAAAAGTCCCTTTAGTTTTCTTGCTTGAATTGTTTCACATTTTTCATGTCAGGTCCTTTTTATAACCGACTATACAGCATGGGTTTTTATACGACTGCAAAAAATTTTGCGGTTGTATATTGGTATTCATCGTCGTCGTCCGAAGACATTTGGTTTCCAGACAATAACTTTAGTACATGTAAATAGAAATCTATGAAATTTAAACACAAGGTTTATAACCACAAAAGGAAGGTTGGGATTGATTTTGGGGGTTATGGTCCTAACAGTTTAGGAATTAGGGGCCAAAAAGGGGCCCAAATAAGCATGTTTCTAGTTTCCAGACAATAACTTGTGGAAAGGTGTATGGATCTCTCTGTAATTAGACCACAAGTTTCCATACCACAAAGGGATGGTTAGGATTGGCTATGGGGGGTTATGGCTCAAACTGTTTAGGAATAAGGGGCAAAAAAGGGTGAAAAACAAGGGTTTCCTGGTTAATGGTCAATTAAAGGTACAATGTTATGTTTGGATTACCTCCCTTACACTGCTTTTAAATTTTGTATAAAGAAATGTTGTATTGTCTTGAGGTGATTAGCTGTCAATTTATTTTTAGAAGTTACTATTAAAAATGCTGATTAAGGAATATTAATTTTAACCATGATTATGTATGTCATTTTCTATTTTAAGACTTTTATGATGTATTTAAATGGGTAATTATGGTTGCAAACTCCATTGGAAATTTGAATTGAGATTATGACCATATCTCGAGGGAAATTTTTTTTTAAAAAGTGGGGGAGGTGAAAAAGAAATTGTGGGGGAGGGGACATTTTTTTCTCATTTCAGATTTCAAAAAATAAAAAGAAAATTTCATCAAATTTTTTTTTTTTTTTTTTTTTTTTGCAAAAAAAAGGGGGGGGGGGGGGGTCAATTCGCAACAGCATAGTGTATTGCACAAAAGCAAAAAAAAATGAATATAAATTCAAATCATATAACCAATTCTAAGTTCTTTGATTACAGTTATTCTGTGTCAGAAACCTATAATGTGTCAAATATTTAATTACAATCCAAATTCAGACTGTATCAAGCGCGAATATTGCGTCCATTTTTGCCCCAACTGTTCATGGTTGGCCCTCTGCAGTCGTATCCAGCTGCGCTCGGCAAAGCAATTTATTCTAATTGTTGAAGGCCGTAAAGTGGCCTATAATTGCTTACTACTACTTCATTTTTACTCTGGTGGATAGTAGTCTCATTGGCAATCATATCACATCTCTATTTATTTTTGTCGAGCCTTCGACTTTAGTCGAAAAAGCGAGACATAGCGATCCTACATTCCGTCGTCGTTGTCGTCTGCGGCGTCCACAAATATTCACTCTGTGGTTAAAGTTTTTGAAATTTTAATAACTTTCTTAAACTATCCTGGATTTCTACCAAACTTGGACAGAAGCTTGTTTATGATCAAAAGATAGTATCCAGAAGTAAATTTTGTAAAAATAAAATTCCATTTTTTCCGTATTTTACTTATAAATGGACTTAGTTTTTCTGCCAGGAAATATTACATTCACTCTGTGGTTAAAGTTTTTAAAATTTTAATAACTTTCTTAAACTATCCTGGGTTTGTACCAAACTTGGACAGAAGCTTGTTTATGATCATAAGATAGTATCCAGAAGTAAATTTTGTAAAAAAATAAATCCATTTTTTCCTTATTTTACTTTTAAATGGACTTAGATTTTCTGCCAGGAAACAACACATTCACTCTGTGGTTAAAGTTTTTAAAATTTTAATAACTTTCTCATACTATTTTGGATTTGTACCAAACTTGGACAGAAGCTTGTTTATGATCAAAAGCTAGTATCTAGAAGGAAATTTTGTAAAAAAATAAATCCATTTTTTCCGTATTTTTCTTTTAAATGGACTTAGATTTTCTGCCAAGAAACAACACATTCACTCTGTGGTTAATGTTTTTAAAATTTTAATAACTTTCTTATACTATTTTGGATTTGTACCAAACTTGGACAGAAGCTTGTTTATGATCAAAAGCTAGTATCTAGAAGGAAATTTTGTTTTCTCCCAGTTAACATTACATTCAGTCTGCAGTTAAAGTTTTTAAACATTTATTAGATTCATAAACTATCCTTGATTTTTACCAAACTTGGACAGAAGCTTCTTACAATCAAAAGATAGTATCAAGTGGAATATTTTTATTGATTTACTTCCTCATTTTTGTTGAGCCTGCAATTAACAGAAAAAGTAGGCGAGACACTGGGTTCCGCGGAACCCTTATGAATTTTTATATTAGATTGTCATTTCCAATAAACTGAAATGTAAACATATTTTTATGTACTTCAGGTTTATACATTTTCTTGTGAAATCATTTGTCATAATTCTAAATGATAGTAGATTCACATTATTTCAAGGGAATATGTTTTTATCATCCCTAAACTCAAACAGCATTTATTTTGGAAGGATTTGTAACAATCTATGAAATTATCTGAGAATGTCTGACCTTGATTTTCTATTTTTCAGGCAGGATATGGGATCATATCTGCGGACTCTCCCATCCAGTTACAGTGCATACAAATATAATGGTTTTTTCGATGATGACCTTATCTCCCTGACCTCCACAGAAGTCGATGACAGTATGACTTACCAACCAAACACACCATATGGGAAAGACATTCTCGCAAATATGAATCTCAGTGGTAATATTTACAATTAAAAATTTTATGTTCTAGAAATAGTATTTATTAGAATATTTAATAATTAGTCCTATACCGACGCACTCTGTCTGTCTGTCTGTCTGTCCATCCGTCAGTCTGGCAAATCAGTTTTCCACACTTTTTTTCATCGCGCTTGAAGATATTGATTTGATATTTGGTATATTATTTTATCATGACAAGTTACAGGTCAAGTTTAAATTTTGTTTTGGTCTGATGATTTTGTGCAGAGTTATGGTCCTTGGACTTAGAAAATTCACTCAAATAATCAGTTTTCCACACTTTTTTTCGTCATGCTTGAAGATATTGATTTGATAATTGGTATATAGTTTTATCATGACAAGTTACAGATCAAGTTCAAATTTTGTTCCAGTCCAATGATTTTGTGCAGAGTTATGGTCCTTGGACTTAGTAATTTACTAAAATAATCAGTTTTCCACAGTTTTTTTCTTCGTGCTTGAAGATATTGATTTGATATCTGGTATATTGTTTTTATCATGACAAGTTACAGATCAAGTTTGAAATTTGTTTTGGTCTGATGATTTTGTGCAGAGTTATGGTCCTTGGACTTAGAAAATTCACTCAAATAATCAGTTTTCCACACTTTTTTTCGTCATGCTTGAAGATATTGATTTGATAATTAGTATATAGTTTTATCATGACAAGTTACAGATCAAGTTTGAAATTTTGTTCCAGTCCAATGATTTTGTGCAGAGTTATGGTCCTTGGACTTAGAAATTCACTAAAATAATCAGTTTTCCACACTTTTTTTCGTCATGATTGAAGTTATTGACTTGACATTTGTTATATAGTTTACACCATGACAAGTTATAGATCAAGTTAGCATTTTGTTCCAGTACAATGAATTTTTAACTGGTAGGGGACTATGTATTGCTATGCAATACTCTCAGAATGCTTGTTATATTTAAATTTTTGGTTAAGTTAGTTAGTTGTGATCAAATCAATTTGAAACTTTGTTCACATGTTCATTATGATGTTTTGACCCCTATTTCAAAGTTTACTGAACATTGAAATATACTGCAAGTGTGCACAGTGTCCTATGGGCAGAGCTTCTTGTTTTAAGTTGAAAAGCAAAGAATGACTTCTTAATTTATTTTTTTGATGATTCAGGTCCTATATGTATGAAGCATTTTTAGGTTGCATTTGTGTACCCCTATTTCAGTCCACTGACCATGTTAATAGAGTGCAAGTGGGGCATGGTGTTTTATGGACTCAGATTCTTGTTATAAGTTGAAATCATTTTTGCATTGAATTAATGTATTGATTTAGTTATAAATGTGCATGATATTGTTCTTTTTTTTATTTGTTTTATATTTGACTTATACAAAATGTATTTATGTATAAAGTGTATATTTTTAAAAAGTTAGTGCTTCTAAAGTGAAATGAATGGTCTTGTTATTGTATGCACAATGGAAACATTTCAACTTGTTAGCTTGTAGTTGTAATCTTTCTCATGTTTATGTTGCAGACCCAGGAACAGTGCTGAAACTTCAGGACCATATGCATGAACAGAATAAACGACTTGATCATGAAAGGAATGCAAGAATAACAATGGAAAACAAATATAAATCTTTATTTAAAGAAAAAAATGAACTTCAAAAGTAAGTCATCAGGGGAACATAACTGATACCCTTCACCAAAAAAAGGCCACCATATTAACAGGTTAAATGTAACTGTATAGAAAACGAGGGAAGGGTTGACTCAATAAACCAGTTTAACACCAACCCAATGTGCCTCTCCCAAGTCTGGAAAATTGTCAGTGCTGGTGTTTTTTTTGGTTTGCATTAAAGTTTTGTATTTTTGTCCAGTTCAAAACTTGCTGCAGATGGCAAATGTTTAGTACATTCTGTTAAGCCTGGACCTTAATTAGAATGGTGGGTAATTATTATATCTTTGGAAAAAATGAGCAAACGGTTATATTTTTGACAAATGTAATGTTCCATAGAAGGAAAAAAATGTAAAAAACCTGTTGAAATCTTCCAAAGAAATTTACCCAGTGAAAATTATTTCCCAAGATTTCCAATATTTGCTGAGGACATCACACTTGCTTTGCAAAGACCTTTTCCAGTTAACATAGGATCAATCATTGTGCAGATACTTATTAATTTACTCTGACACAACATTATCTTTGATGGGGTGTCATATGGTCTAAACACTATAGTCTATTGTTTATGATGAATGTTGACTTCTTGATGTCACTTTCCTTTTATTCATAGTACAAAGTACAAAAAAGAAGACTTATAAGCTGAATGGCCAGAGTCTTATAAGAGAATGCAGAATGCAAAGTCTTGTAAAAGGGTGAACTTCTGAAGCCCTCCCCCTAAAAAAAAAACCAAACAAAACCAGAAATACTCTTTTAATTTGTATTATAAAAAAACAAACTTTTTTTTCAAATTGTGTGTTTTGTATTATAGGAAGGCTGATGGCCTCAATCAACAGAGGTCTAATTTGGAGCAGGAGAAGCTGGATTTGGAAACCAGAATCAGGAATTTAGACTATAAACTTAGTGAAGAATCAGAAATGAGGAAAAATGCTGAGACATTGCTGTCAAAAACAAAAGACCAGCTCAACAAAAAAGAAGAACAGTATACTAGGTCAATTTACTAAAATTTAGATAAAAATAGGAAAAGAAAGAATGTTTGCATAAACATTTAATGTGCAACTTCGGATTTGCTGGTTTTTTTTCTGGATTGTGAAACCGGGTCTATTGTCTGCACTTTTCTTAATGGAGGGTGCCCATTTTGTGTAATCAACTTATCCTAATGTTTTCAACACAGAGCCTTCAAACTTTCTTAAATGTTTGTATTAAGCATTAAGGATAAGCAACTCGCTCTGCTTATACATTTGAATAATTCGTAGTTCACTTAAGAAAAATGCCACACACAGTGCAAAGGTAAACAAAAATTAGACAAAAATTAGACAAAATAAAAATATATTCCTCCTGCTACATTTAGAACGGACAAAAAAATATTTTGTAAACTTATTTAAAGTTAATTTTGTGCTATGTTTTTTTTGTCAAGTTATCAATAAATTTCCACTCTCTATGAAATATTATCAGATTATTACATAGCATTTTTCATATCAGATGTATTATCAGCCCAAGGTTCAATATCAACCCAAGAGCTGAAGGCTCGAGGGCTGATAATACATCTGATATGAAAAATGACATGTTATGATCTTTTTATCATATGCTTCAACAAAAGAGAAAAATAACAGTTTAATATATTGATCCTTTTTAGTGGTTCTCACCTAGAAGTTCAAAAAGTGAAAAGTTTACGGACGTCGGACGCCAAATGTAGTACATCCGATATGAAATCTTTCTAACATATGCCTCAACAGAGAGAAAAAAAACAACAGCATGATATATTTTTATATTGACGATAAAAAAAAATCAACAAAACATAATGAACACTGTTTGGAAAAATTTGTAAAAACATTTGTAAAGTAACTTTCTAAATTATGCTGGAAACTTTTAAAAATGCATTTATTTGATCATTTTTTATTTTTTTATTTTTTATTTTACATAATATATTATCCTGTATCGTAATAATTGTTTTGTACCCTACTTTAATTGTAATGTTTTTCACTTAAAACGTATCATTGAGGTGTATTTTCCAGAATTTGCTGAGTATCGCCAGAATGCCATGCGATAACGTTACGGAAAGGCATGTGGTAATAATTGAAGCATGTGATAAATTTTTCATATTAGCCCGCTAAACACCATTTCGGAAAAATATGGAATTCACGTAAATTCAATGCTGTTATCAAACTGTAAAAATTATATGTTATTTGCTATAAGTATATGATAAATTATAATATCAATAGTATGTTGCTTAATAAACCAATTTATCATATACAGTGAGATTGAAGCCAAACAGGCAGCAGAATTACAGATGAGAAATTTACAAATGGAGCTCAGATCTGCCAACAACTCAATTAAACAGGTGAGTTGCCTTCCTTTATTTCAACACAGAGAACTTCAAAAATTTTGTCCAAAATATTTCGATAGAAAATAAAACAAATAGAGTAAATTCTGATGAATAAATTCAGCCTGATATTGTTTAATAATTCTTTTACCCACATTTCTATATATTATCCCTAGATTTTAAAATTACTTTCTTCTTTTCAAGTTGTAAGTTTGGTAATAGATATTGACAATCTTGTAGATGAGAGATTCCATTGAGAAAAAGAAAAAGGTGGTAATTTTCAGAAAATTTCTCCAAGCATGCATCTGAACCTCATATTTTAAATAAAACATTGACAATTTCATCTTCATTAAAAAATGATCAAATTTATTTTTGCTTGTGATGTGAATTTTTGAGTGTTTAACCTCTGGAAATATAATGTAAAAACCATGGGACTGTTTGTTGGTTTCTAATCTGTGTGCTTATACATTGATCTAAAGACTAATTTCCCTACAGATCTTCCAAAATATGTGTTCCGTGTTTCAAATTATCTACCAGTGTCTCGGGTATACCAACGTACTTATTATTGAAAATTATTGAATCATTTTATAATGCCAAAGTGAAAAGCTTTTATTTACAAATTTGCTGTGAATTCATTTATAATAATCAATTTTCAAGGTTAAAGAAATGTGTTTAATACTAAGTTGGTACCTAATTTTATTATTTTGATACTTACTAATAACAAAAAATAATTGTATTGCATTGAATAAAAAAATTGATGATTTACCAAGCATTCTCTGACTTTATAAAATATATTTTGCATTTCAAGCCCCACATTTTTGTTATGACAATCTTCTGCTGTAAATTGACTTTTTAGATTTTGACCTCTGACCTTGAAACTCAAATGGTTATCATCAAATCTTGGTCTTTGTACATCACATAATTTGATGCATATGGTCTTTATAATGTTGACATGAAACTGTCAGCATAGTTTTAGTTTGTTTTCTTTAGCTTGGCCTTTGACCTCTTACTTTGGACTGCTATAAGGGTCAACATGTCCTCGTATAATGAATTACTATCACATTTATATACTTAGATTGATGAAGATGAGCATAGCTGTTTTGTCTGATTTTGACATTAACTTTTTTTCTGTGACCTTGTTGATGATCAAACTTTAATCACTGTCCTAATGACAACTTTTTACCTAGATCTTTGGTGAAAGTCATCTGTAAATCTACTTGCAGTAAATACATGTGCTAAATAAACGAATATTGACCCAACTGTTATTTTGAGAAGGTGGTGGTTACCCATGGATTACCATACAGACAATATTGAGAATTTCCACACACGCTGATTTCATTATAATGAAATACTTAATGCTCAGTAATGTGAAATATTTTTAGGATGCATATTGAAGTTTTGATATTGTCTGTTAAAAGTCAATGATTTTATGTTCTATTTTGAAAATGATTACATACATATTACAAAAAGTACCAAGAAATAAGATATATATGAGAATTCTTTGACTTCTGAATATTTGCTTACCATAGGAATTTGGAAGGGAATGAAGCTTTAAAAAGAATTTACATTGTATCTTTATTCATCTCATAACATTCCATGCATATGTTAAATTATTGTTGTTAGCTTGAAGAGGAAAAAGAGGAATACCAGCAACAAGCACAACACGAGAAGAATGCACGACAAATGCAGGAGCAGATTAATGAGGAACAACACCGTCTTCATGAACAGCTACAGTTCAAACAGGCAGAAATTGCTTCTAAACAAGTAAGGTTCAGTTGTAAAAAAAGCTTTTAAAACCAAACATTTATCTTTTGTGCCTTTAATGGAGATATTAGCATTAAGTATGTTAAAATATAGAAATAAGGAGATGTGGTATGATTGCCAATGAGACAACTATCCACCAAAGTTCAAATGAAGTGGATGGAAGCAATTATAGGCAACCATATGGCCTTCATCGATGAGAAAAACCAATACCATATAGTCGTCTATAAAAGGCACGGAAATGAAAAATGTGAAACAGTTCAATTGAGAAAACTATTGGCCTAATTCATAACAAAACAATTTAAGAAAAACAAATATAACAGACATTAAAAGTACATTTAACTGTTAAAATTACTGTTTTGTGCCAAAATTGTAATGCATGTAAAGAACTCTTCTTAAACTCTTCTTTTGTATATTTATAACACAATATGATATTTTTAGGAAAGTGTACCGGTAAGCTTATGCACAATAATGATAGTAGTTTGACATCTAACTAAGTCAGTTTGTAAAGAAATTAGTATAGATCTGTATTTGCCAAAATTAGTTATTAGTTTGCTGAATGAACTCTAACCCCCCAACAATAAAGTTAGGGGATTATGTGTAAGTCATGTTTGGTTCATAACTTTTGAATGCCTTGAAAAACATTAATGATGCTTGGTATTAATGTACCCCACTAGCAGGGTTGGGGTAGCAAGTAAGGTAGGAATATCTGTCTCCAAGGTCAACTTTACATCTCCATATACAAAATTATTAAGTTGTGTCCAACCCAGAACTTTTAAACATTAGGATATTAATGATACCTGATCTTATTGTTGCCAACCACTACAGGTTGTTTAGCAAATGTCTGTGAGTAAGGAAAAATGTCACATACATATAGTTTCAATTATACAAAGTTGTTTCAAAGTAAGAACTTGTGAATGCCTTTAAGGATATGAATGATGCTTGATAATATTGTTACCCACTACCAGAGAGAGAGTGTTGCTTGAAAGGTTGGAACATATGTCCGCAAGGGCAAGGTCATTACTTTGTAAGGGTTTTTTGGGGGGTTTTTTGTTTGTTTTTTTTTTTTGATCTGTAGAATAACATCTAATATTTGTCAGAGTGAATATTACTCATATCTTAACTTTCTAAAACACACTTGAGCTGTTGTGAGGTGGTTTGCTTTTGTATTTATGTCCATCATCATTATCTTTTTTGCCATTTTTGCATTTTTCTGTCATTAACATCCCCCTTTTTTATGCTGCTTTTAGAATAACATATTTTGTAGTCTCCTTTTAGTAAGTAGAGAGTATGAACGTTGAAAATGTTACTTGCTTTAGAAAATGACAAATGCTTAAATTTACTCATCATATTCAAGTTTGAGTCATATCAAGAGAAGTAGTAAATGGTGATATCAGCAGAATAGGAAATCTTTGAATTTTCTCCTGGACTTTCATTCCAATTAAATATTATTTTCTACTGTACCAAGAAACTATCAGCTAGAAATCTTCAAACCAGCACGTTATTTATTTAATTTTGTAGCTGTAAACGACTTGTGACATATATTTTTCACTGTATAATTCACAAAAAAACAGAAGGTTTTATTACTATTTTGAAACCAATTATTGAAAATACCCGGTAGTAAGTTAAATTGAATATAGGTTAAGAAATTTAGTCTAAGAATAATTGTTTTAAGGTTTAAGGCATATCTTTTGATGTTTTTCCAGTTTGATGCTGAAAATCAGTTGGAGGTTGCTGATGAGGACAGAAAACATGCCCATGACTCTCTGAGTATACTCAGGGCTGAACTCACTGCACTTAAGGTATTTAAAGTACAAATTTCGCGACAGGCTTCCCAAACTCCGAACACCAAGTTTTTTCTTGGTGTGACACCAGGAAACTCCGACATCCCTCCCTAAGTTCTCGGAGAAATTTGGGAGTATTCCCTCAGACTCCCGCGTAAATTCGCTACCTTTTGTTTATTGTATTAGCGACATCTCTCCCAGTCCGGTGTGACGCGGTGTCACACCAGGTAATTAATTGCCCTAATCCTTCTGATCTATACCGGCACGCGACAGTCAAGGTATGTGAGATTACTTATGTAATTAAACAATTGTATTTCCTGTCTATTGATAATCAGTTATATTTCTGATTGCTTGAAACAAATAAAAGATATAAAAGCAAAACTTTGTTGTTAATTCTTTCAATTACACTGTACATTTAAAAATAGTTTTATTAAAAAAAAACTATATTTGATTTTTACCTCGTTTTTTTTTCTGGTCAGTAAATTAATATTTAATTTACAAAAGAGATATACTTGTGTAAAAATAAACGGAGACTTACGCTGAATAAATGTGGGCAGTTTAAATGAAAATTACATGTCTCAAAGTTTTGTATACAAGTAAAAAAGAAAATATTATTCACTATTCGTTATGCTAATAAGTCCATGCCATTTTCATTTTACGATTACATAATTGCTTGAAACAAATTAAAGATTTAAAAGCAGAATGTTGTTGTTAATTCTTTCAATTGCATTAAAGTTTTATAACAAAAACTATACTTGATTTTGACCTTGTTTAAGTTCATCGGTAAATTATTTTATTTACGAAAAGAGACATACTTGCGTAAAAATAAACGGAAACTAACGCTGAATATAAATGTGAGCAGTTTAAAGAAAATTACGTGTCTCAAAATTTGTATATGCAAGTGAAAAAGAAAATACTATTCACCATTCGTTATGCTTAATAAGTCTACGGCATTTTCTCTTTATGATTTGCTAGCATTACTTTAGGATAAATAATATTACATTTCGGCTACAACAGGAATACTTCTATAGCTGCTTCAACTCGTCGTTGCATAATATTCATTTACGCACAATGAATGTAAACTTGTGTGTTGTATAAAGGACAGTGAGTTTTAAATTTTTTAAAAGAAATTAATTGCCGTGGGAAGACGATACACATCTCAGTGATCAACAGTCCGTGGTTGAACTTTGAACTTGACTTCGCTCACAATATTGAATGCTAAAAATAGTGACATCAATTTTGTCCACGAGATTTTTATTTGGTGGGAAATATTATCACGTAACAGTAAACTCAGGTGACCTTTCTGGATGACCGTGGGAAAATTCATTCGGGGTTTAAATTTGCTTTGGAATGATTGACATTTGTATGCCTTAAGATTGAGGCTCTAGAAGGTCCTTTTACAATTGGTTAACCGGAATCTAAAATATAATCCTTTTCTGAATAAACGAACACCAGCCTTTTAATTTTACGTTTCTCAGTCAACACAGGACATAAACCTGGACATTATTTATACGTCCATGGTCAACAATATACATAAATGGTAGATGAAAACAGGATGCATGTCGTTCAGTTCCTGTTGGGCGTTGGTAGAGATCCTCTGTGAAAATGTGTAGATTGTAAAAATCCGATCCACATTTTTTTCACATATTTCTTTCTTGTAGAACACGATATAATTTCATTTAAATATTCTATAGTATTAATTGTTGAAATACTTCTTTTTTAAATTTCGCCAAGGACTTTTAACGAGCAGTAAAATACGGATTGCGCCCATCCAATTTCATTTTAAATAATAAAGGATCAATAACAGATCATAACAGAGATAAACAAGACATGATTTTTTTTCTTCATATAATTAAATTGGGTTGTGATTATTGTGTTGTGTCTGGGCGGGGAATGTCTCTCAGTGTTGTGTTTTTATGAATATAGGGCACATTGCATACAAAACGTTTTCCCTTCGTTCAACAGAGTTGTCACTTTACAGTTTCCTTTCTGAGTTCAAATATTTCAAGTCGGTAATCTACCGAGGTAGTGAAACATAATATTTTACATTGCAAAATAAATTGAAAGTAACAGAGTTCACTTGTTGATCCAATAAATTAACTCTTGGGTTTAGATTGGACAAATTACCATAAAAACATCATTTTGTTTTAAGCCAGTTGATATTTATATATTGAACAATTAATGAACCGGATATTGCTCACTGACTAGGTCATAAAAGATTCATTTTTTTTGTAGTAAAATCGTCTTTGTTGAAAAAACAAAAATTATGACCTGACCAGACTATAATAAAAATACAAAATAAGTATTTTATTCGTATTTTTATACGTTTGTACGTTTTATTTCAAATGACAATGACATGGGGCAAATAAATACAAGAATAATTATCTTATTTTGAATGAAAATGTCACATTTTTATCTGTCAAAGAAAGGAAATTTTAATACCGTGTTTTAAAGCACACAGGTGCAATCAAGATCGATTAAATGTACAAAGGTAATACATCTGGCTAATCCGATTATGTTGTCACGCGTCATTAATTTTCAGTACATCCGATGGGCAATAAACCAATTAACAGCCACGCTGTGTTGGGAGAGAATCTTTGGAGGAAATTGGGAGTATAATCCGTGATACGCGGTGTGACACCGCTACACTCCGAAATCCGTGATTAGAGTTCGCAATTACAAACTCTCTGTGCGTACTGTATCAGGATTTGTAGGCATTCACATCTGAAGTCATTATAAAAAATATGACAATTTTTGTACATGAAACTTTTATTGTTATTAGTTGATGCTGTTTGTGATTGTGAATATTCCCATTACTATTTTTTTCAATAATTTACAGAGCCCTTAATAGGTCAAAGAAATAATTCATGGAAGACAATTGTGGGTGAATTAGCACAGATAATATAATGTTTTAGATAATAATAATACCCATGTTAAGACATGAATTATTTTAATTCAAATTCTGTGATAGGGTAGGAAAGAAATAGTATAACCATTTTAATGCCTCCATAGATGGTGTCCGTTTGGATGTTTGTATCTGCATGATTAAAATGGAGAAACTATAAAGAGTTTTCAAAATGCTAGAGTTAACTAAGCTTATTACAATTTTATAGTTATCCTCTGTGGAACTGAATTCTGGTTTGCAAAAGTTAAATAAAATCTGAAAACTTTTTTCAGTTGATTTAGTATAATATTGAAAGCATATTCATTTATAGAGTGAATTAGAGAAGGAAAGAAAAAGAAGACGTGATGAAGCTTCTATGATGTCTGGTGAAAGTGAGGAACTTCAGGGTAGGATTGAGGACCTGAAGAATGAGAATAAAATGACAGAAGATGCTCTGACGAAGGCCACAATGGCACATAGTTTACAAGTCAGTAATCTGAACACAGAAATAACCATTATCAATTCTCAGTATGAGAAAGAGAGAGCATCTAAAGAAAAAGTGGACGCTGAGGTAGGTCATACATATCATGAGTATATACTTACAGGCAAACCAACTGTTTTATCATTTAAGACAATTCGGAACTAAAAAAATTATTTCAGAAAAATTTGTATTTAGATGTTTTGATCATTAACACTTCTTCCTATTGCTTGCTGGTAATTTATGATTTTTTTATAGCATTATGTTTACATCATATCACATGTGACCAGAGGTAATATCCTTCATTAATTTATTGTATGCATTCATTGGATAAAACATCTGACAAAAATTCTGTCAACTTGAAGTTCAGTACTGATCCATGTCATTCTTGGAGAGAACCAGGGAAATGGCTATGAAAACTGACATGACAGCTAATCAAGAATGAATAGCTTGGAAAAAAATCCATTTATTTACTTTTGTACTTTTAAATCATACACTCCTTTACGTTCAAATTCTAAGTCCAACACCATATTTCATTGAAATAACAGTTTATTGTGGATTCTATTATTTTCCTTTATACCAATATTCATGAATTATAGAAAACCTGCATTTTCTTTGATATTTGATTTCATGATTTGGCCAAAGGTTGAATACAAGCCTGTAGAAAATGTGTATTTTGTGGAACATTTAAATTGGTGGTTTTGCTATGTTAAAAAAATCCACGAAATATGGTATCCCACAAATCAGAATGAATCCACAGAAGTAGAAAAACTACAGTCATTTTGTTCAATATTTAAGCTTGAATCATTGAAGACCAGATTACAGAGTAGTAGTTGGGAGGTTGACAAGGCAGAGCAGGCTAGGAGTGAAGTAGAGAGGTATGTTGAATTGTACTTTATTCATTCTATTATTTCCATTTTACCTTTCAACACTCTTATGTTTGACAAAGTACCAGTCATATATTTCGACAAGTACTGTTTTTCCACATTGAATATTCAATGGAATTTTAAGTTGAAATAATCATGGTATTGGTGTAGGACTGTTATCTTAAAAAAATGTATTTCAGTCCGTTAACCACTTGAAGTTGACTTGTTTATTGTCTTGTTGAAGTCATTTACACCTTTCAAGTGCCTTTATGAAAATACTTCAGAATTTTCTCTAAACATGTAAGATAAAGTTGTTTACATTAAACTATTGAAAACCGGAAGAAATTTATATGTGTAAGTAAAATTGGTGATTTGTATATGGAAGAAAATGAAGGCTTGTGTATTATTGTAAGTTAACAGTAAGACATTTTTAAAAAAATTTTTAAATGGTATTTATTGTCATGCAAGCATTTTATAGTTGTTTTACATTCATAATTTAAATCATATTAATAGGGAACCAAAATCTTTCATCCAGGTTTAGCATTATTCAGGAAGCTAAATTTGCTCTGACATTGTTTTTATACGACCGCAAAAATTTTTTGCGGTCGTATATTGGTATGACGTCGGCGTCGTCGTCCGAGGACACATTGGTTTTCGAACTCTAACTTTAGTTTAAGTAAATGGATCGCTTTGAAATTTTACCATAAGGTTCAATACCACAAAAGGAAGGTGGGGATTGATTTTGGGGGTTATGGTACCAACAGTTAAGGAATTAGGGGCCAAAAAGGGGCCAAAAATAAGCATTTTCTAGTTTCCAGACAATAACTGTGGTACGGTGTATGGATCTCTCTGAAATTATACTACAAGTTTCCATACCACAAAGGTATGGTTAGGATTTGCTTTGGGGGGTTATGGCTCAAACCGTTTAGGAATTAGGGGCAAAAAAGGGGGAAAAACAAGGTTGTCCTGTTTAATGGACAAATACTTTAGTACAAAACATAATGTAAAGCAGTGTAAGGGAGATAAATCAAATACATCATTGAAATTATCTCCCTTACACTGCTTTTAAATTATGTATAAAGTAATGGTTAATGAACAATTAAGATAATTTAAAACAGTGTAAGGGAGGTAACAACGTTTTGGTTACTTCCCTTACACTGCTTTTAAATTATGTTTAAAGAAATGCATATTTATAAAGGAAGACCAGTAAAAATATCTGCAAATGTTGCATCTTTTTTTTTTACAAAAAAATCCATATGAAAGATTTGACACTATATTTTAAATTCTATTATAAAATAGAGTAAGTTAGCACTATGGTAAATTTAAATGGGTAATTATGGTTGCAAACTCCATTGGAAATTTGAATTGAGATTATGACCATATCTTGAGGGAAAGAATTTTTTGGGGGAAAAAAGGGGGGGGGGGGGGTAAAAAGGAATTGTGGGGGGGTCAATTTTTTCTCATTTCAGATTTCAGAAATTAAAAAGAATTATTCTTCAAATATTATTTTTTTTTCAAATTTCAAATATTGAAAAATTTCAAGAAGTAATCTTTAATTGCACAGTATGGCGCATTAGATTTGTAAAATCTTTGACCACATTTATTTATTTGTTATGCCGAATCTAACCGTGTATTTAGATTTTTAATTTTGGGTCCAGTTTTCAAATTGGTCTACATTAAGGTCCAGGTAGCACGGTAGTATTTGCATTCCAGAATTTAGGTTGCTCTTTTGTGTACCCTACTTAGGTCAATGTATCTGAACAGTGTGATTGGACTAAAAATACAGTATCAACTGAACATACTTTCCCAAACTGAGGGATGAATCAGGTGTAGAAAAATATGAAATAATTTTACAAACAGGTGAAAATGAATTTTTGAGAATTTTTTTAAATTTTGTATTCACTGCATGATAAAAGACCTAAAAGCACTAGTGGCCTTAGGTTTTTAAAAATAGCAAAAAAAGTAAACGGTCATGATACATATTCAAATTTATTTCTGATTAGTATAATGAAAGTACTTCAGTTAACTGTGTATGTAGAATTTTTCGCAGTGCTAGAAAGTGGTGAAAATCCTAAAAAGGCTATCATTATCCCTTATGGGCCAGGAAATACTACCGTGCCACCTTAACTGGGATATATATGTTTACACAAAATCAATAAAGGTATTTGTTTTACCTATGCAATTTGTAAGTTTATCAATAAAAAGTTGATTAAGGGCAACTAGAATAAAAACAGCCCTTAAATTTCACCCCTGGGAGTGAAAATTGCTGATTCAGCAAATTTTGCCTGATCTGTGGGTAATAATGTTAATATTTACCTAGAAAGTAAAATTTCTTTATTTTTAAGTAACTTGCAATACATTTTTAATTATAAAGTTTAGTTTTAACTTTTCGCAGTGTCTGACACTTGTGCAACAACTGGAATTTGAGACGCGACATATTTTAGTCGCCTGTACCTCCTATAATTTTCACCGTAATAAAGTGCATAATTTTTTATTTTTTTCCACACAAGTACAGCTATACTAGTTTTCTTCAGGTTTAATTTGTAGTTCTGTGGTAACATGACACCAGTAAAGAGCTTTTTTGGAACTAGTAAGTGGTTAAGGGATCCTTACTTATTCATTTAGCCCTCATATTTAGCTGAAATAGAGATAGCATTAGGGGTTTCTTTACATTGACAAGACAATTTTTTGGACAAAGAATGTGATTATGATTGTATATCAGCAAGATTAAATAGTTTATTCATTTTCCATGCAAATGTCATTAATTTATTTGATTTTCTGACCCTGAAAAGCACAATAAAGCTAAATTGATTATGTAAGGGAACATAATTTAACTGAATGCATACATGAGAAATAGACAATGAGTCAACTTAAAGATATATTCTAGTACATGTATTGTCAAAAAGATCTTTGAATAATAGTAAACTGCCATCTAAAGAGTCTTGTTATATTGCCTTCATAATCTGGAAATGCTTAAAGGAATGTAAGGCATGCTGTAAAATGTGGAATGGACTTTACTATCAGTTTTCATGATTTGGTGCTTAAACTGTTTCTTTCAGTCAGATTAACTATAAATAGAGTTGGCAATCCAATAATTCCTCCTGAATCACCATGGTTTACTTCTGTGTTGATTTGAAACAACATATATTTGGGTTTTGTTCACTCCTTAAGTAAAAATGTTCAGATGAAAAAAAGTGAAAATCTGCCAGCTGGGGTAGGGGTATACTTTTTAATTTTTTTTTGGTAAGAAATAAGTGAAGACTAGTATTCTTTATTGTAATATGTTTCCTAGTAAGAAGTCTATGCATCATAGGTGTCATGACAGATTTAAAGTTTGTAATGTCTTGGTTAAGGTAGCACGGTAGTATTTGCATTCCAGAATTTAGGTTGCTCTTTTGTGTACCCTACTTAAGTCAATGTATCTGAACATTATGATTGGACTAAAAATACAGTATCAACTGAACATACTTTCCCAAACTGAGGGATGAATCAGGTGTAGAAAAATATGAAATAATTTTACAAACAGGTGAAAATGAATTTTTGAGAATTTTTTTAAATTTTGTTTTCACTGCATGATAAAAGACCTAAAAGCACTAGTGGCCTTAGGTTTTTAAAAATAGCAAAAAAAGTAAACGGTCATGATACATATTCAAATTTATTTCTGATTAGTATAATGAAAGTACTTCAGTTAACTGTGTATGTAGAATTTTTCGCAGTGCTAGAAAGTGGTGAAAATCCTAAAAAGGCTATCATTATCCCTTATGGGCCAGGAAATACTACCGTGCCACCTCCAAAGGGTCCAAAATTAAACTTTGTTTGATTTTAACAAAAATTGAATATATGGGTTTCTTGGATATGCTGAATCTAAACATGTATTTGGATTTTTGATTTTTGGCCCAGTTTTCAAGTTGGTCCAAATTGGGGTCCAAAATTAAACTTTGTTTGATTTCAACAAAAATTGAATATATGGGGTTCTTTGATATGCTGAATCTAACCATGTATTTAGATTTTTTATTTGTGGACCCCGCTATCAAATTGGTTCATATTGAGGTCAAAAGGGTCCAAAATTAAACTTCGTTTGATTTCATCAAAAATTGAAGTATTGGGGTTCTTTGATATGCCAAATCTAACCGTGTATTTAGATTTTTAATTTTGGGTCCTGTTTTTTAAATTGGTCAACATTAAGGTCCAAAGGGTCCAAAATTAAACTTAGTTTGATTTTAACAAAAATTGAATTCTTGGGGTTCTTTGATATGCTGAATCTAAACATGTGTTTAGATTTTTGATTATGGGCCCAGTTTTCAAGTTGGTCCAAGTTGGGGTCCAAAATTAAACTTTGTTTGATTTCAACAAAAATTGAATATATAGGGTTCTTTGATATGCTGAATCTAAACATGTATTTAGATTTTAGATTTTTGGCCCAGTTTTCAAGTTGGTCCAAATTGGGGTCCAAAATTAAACTTTGTTTGATTTCAACAAAAATTGAATATGTGGGGTTCTTTGATATGCTGAATCTAACCATGTATTTAGATTTTTTATTTGTGGGCCCGCTATCAAATTGGTTCATATTGAGGTCAAAAGGGTCCAAAATTAAACTTTGTTTGATTTCATCAAAAACTGAATTATTGGAGTTCTTTGATATGCCAAATCTAACCGTGTTTTTAGATTTTTAATTTTGGGTCCCGTTTTTTAAATTGGTCTACATTAAGGTCCGAAAGGTCCAAAATTAAACTTAGTTTGATTTTAACAAAAATTGAATTCTTGGGGTTCTTTGATATGCTGAATCTAAACATGTGTTTAGATTTTTGATTATGGGCCCAGTTTTCAAGTTGGTCCAAGTTGGGGTCCAAAATTAAACTTAGTTTGATTTCAACAAAAATTGAATATATGGGGTTCTTTGATATGCTGAATCTAACCATGTATTTTGATTTTGGACATTGGACCATAATAGGTAAATTAAAAAAAATCAAGTTCTTAGACCACATTCTTTCTGTGTCAGAAACCTATGCTGTGTCAAATATTTAATCACAATCCAAATTCAGAGCTGTATCAAGCTTGAATGTTGTGTCCATACTTGCCCCAACTGTTCAGGGTTCGACCTCCGCGGTCGTATCAAGCTGCGCCCAGCGAAGCATTTTATTCTTAATTTTTTCATCTGATCTTGCATCTGTAGGAGGTTACAGTACGAGAAGGAAGAATGGACAAAGCAGTTAGAAAACAGTCAGAAAGATAATACATTACTAAAGGACCAACAGCAAACTCTGTTACATAGATTATCTAGTCTAGAAGCCAAATTAAACTCTGTAGAAAATGAGGTTAGTAGCTTTAAAGGCAGAAATAAAAGATAAAGCAATTCAATTTGAAAATCTATAGAAACAGTATACCCATTAAAGTTATTTTCTAGTAAGTCTGTGCATTTTATTTGGCTAAAAGTGAAATGCAAGGAATAATAGAACAGGTGAAATTATTAACCATCATCATAACTTTAAATTCTGAACATATTTTAAAAATTTGCTTTGCAATAAACCATGAACTGAAAAAAAGTGTAATGTTTGAGGGTACTTATGTTAAACAATTTTTTCCCGTACATTAATACTAACATACATACAGCAATAACGTATCCTGTATATTGGACAGTTCAATCAATGTCTGGGAATTTTAATTTTGGTATCTATAACCTATGGCAGTTTTACATTAAACATATAATTTGTATTCTTTTTTACAGTTACATGTTGCCAATACTTCCCTGTTAGAGAGAACTAACCAGTTACAGCAATGTCAGAAAGATCTAGAATACTATAAATCCGCCCAGGATAATTACGACCAGAACTATAAATTAGAAAAGGTATTACAGAAAATTGAAATATGCAATTAGTATTGTTCTTGTTTGTCCTGAAATTAATAGAAATTGTGTTTAATGTGATTGGGTTTTTTTTTTGCTTTTTTTTCCTTGACAATCAAACATTTCATACAAATGTCTTTCATAAGTTACATTAGTTTTGTAAATTTTTCCTAAAAAGTCATTATGATACAAGGGTTATAATTATAATTCAATATACTTGAGTTGTGTTTTATCTACATAAGACTCATTAGTGACACTATCATCAAAATAGATGGAAGGCCAAATTTAGTTGAAGAGCATTGAAAACAAAAAATTCCAAAAATTTGTGCCAATTATGGCTAAGGCCATTTTGCCCTCAGATAGAAAAACTGTATTATTTCTATTGATTTTGTAATCTTTCTATGTGTTCTAGCGAGAGAAGATAAATGTCATCTGTTTTCCATGTGAACTTTCAGTTTCATTGAAAAGAAATAATTTCACAATGATGATTTATCTCACATTTATTTTTCAGGAGCATAATTCGAAGCTCCAGACCAAAGTAGAAGGTCTACAAGAAAAGTAAGTTTTCCTTGTGTTCTTTAGTACTGTATTGAAGTGACCTGACTTGGTGAATAATTATCACATTTAAACATATAAATCTACATCATTTTGTCAGAAAAGATAATTTTCCCTGTTCTGTAGTTTTAAATATGTGTTTCCAACAAAAATGATATTTTACAGACATTAAATTTGACCATTTTATCTGAGTACAGAAAGATTTTTTAGCATGCACAAGGGTATCTTGACATTCCTGTTTTTCACATTTGATTTTAACACGACATCAGCTTTCCAACATAAAATGCAGGCATTAAAACGAGGGTATAAATCTATAACTTTATGGGTAGTGTCGTCCTCACCCAGACTCACTTGTCAGTGTAATATATGTTTTTATTTGCAGGGTTACAGGTTTCCAACATGAAAATCTAACACTTAAACAACAGCTAGAATCTTTACAACATGTGCTGAGTGATAGATCAGGGGAAGATGCACATGAGAAGTTTACTAGCATGCTAGCTTCTCTCAAAACTGAGAACGAAAAGGTGAGTAGCAAACACAGAATTTTGAAGTAATTTTCAGATTAACAATTGCCTGTTACCTATTAGTGTTTTATAGCTTTTCTTGATATCCCTTGAATATTGTATAAATTATGAGGCTTATAGCATTATAACAGAAATTTAATGCGTCTAGGTCAAAGGTACTCAGTTGAACCTCAACTATTACAAAGCATAAGGTTGAAATGAAATTTATTCTGACAGTCCTGAAGTCATTCTATTCCTATTTTTGTTACAGTTACACCACCACAAATATATATTTTAAAATAGAAAAAGAGATAATTGTGACATTGTTATTATTTTGCACTCAAAGGAAAGTTAAGATTGAACAGCTGTTATAGAACATCTGAGCTGCAGCTTGTGATACAGCTACCCAAAAATACTTTTTGTTTTTAAAAATTTAGACAGTTTTTTTTTTAAAGTTTCTTCCTACCATGCCATATCCATTCTAATGGAAAACCCTTAACCAAGGAAATAAAACTTTGAGTTGGGCTAGTAGTTACTGAAGTTTTAGAAAGTAAGAAAGCTTAATTTGGAATAAGATCCTGTAACAAAATATGGAATAACAAAGTCAGTTTTATCAATATTAAAACAGATTTTCCAGAAGTACCCAGAACTTCAGGTATGTTTTTTGTGAAATTTGACAGTTTTAACTTTTATGGTTTGGTAAAGGTAGAATACTAAATCTGTTTTGTAAAACTAAGTTGTAGTAATAGTGTAGCAAGGTTAAGTGAAGGGAAACTTCCATTGGCCCTTCTTGATTTATTAAAACATGTTTCCTTTCCAACTAAGGCTCGTTTAAATCTGGAAGAAAGAAACTCAAGTCTCTCAGAACAAGTGACAAAGCTAAAGGATGAAAACAGAAGCTTGGAAGGAAGAAGGGGTAACTTGGAACAAGATAATCAGCGACTGAACAGGGAATATACAGATATGTTTAAAAAATTATCTGTAGCTGAAGCCTCACATGAAGTTAGCAGTAAGGTAACGGATAAGTTGCATGTTTCATAACTATATATTTTGCTAAACTGCCTACTTGTACAATGCTACATTAACTTTCAAAAATTAAACTTAATCTTGGCTTTGACATAAAGCATTGTTGTAATTTTTTAAATTGACATAGAAAGATGGATTAAAACATTTAGCGTTTTTTTCATCAAGTAGATCTCTGTTTGAATTTTAGTCTAATAGTTTTGCAAAGATATTTATCTTAGGGATGCATGTACTGTAACTCTTCCATGGTGTTGTCAATTTTTAACATTTACTTAAAAGGGAACATATTAAGCTGTGTGTATATGATTTTTTTACCTTATAGCAGTTTAATAATTAAGGAGGGAAATGATAATCTGAAAATTTAAATCATGTATGACCACCAGGGAAAAGTTATAGAGAATTCCTTTGATATGAGGGTTTAAAATTACTTTTTGTAGTGTAGCTATTTTTAGATGTTTTGCTAATATGCATTCTTATACTATATGTGAGCACTTAGTAATATTTATAGATTTGCACACAAGATTAAATAGAATGTGCTTAATTAGTTAATAGATACTTACAAAAAACATGTACTGTTGAATAGGCTAAAGAACACCTAGACTCAGAAAAACATAAACTTGCCATGGATCTAGAAAGGACTCAACAGAAATATGAGACTGCACAACAAAAATGTCTAGAATTACAGACCAGGGTCACTGAAATAACAGAGCATGTCAAGAAAGCTGAGAATGTCCGTGACCAAGCTAGGGCTGAGCTGATGAACACATCCCTTAATCAGGATGAAGGAAACAAGATCCGAGTCAGTAGATCACACATTACTTACCATGAGTCTATTTGTATACTTTCAACAGAAAGGAATTACTTATATTACCCATACTGTGTACATGACAAATTTTTAATTATACAAAAAAGTAGTCAACAAATAGGCTATGCATGCAATCTTAACTAATTGAATAGCTTGTAGGATATTTTAAAGAAAATTAACCTCAATGCTTTGCTCATAAGTAATGTTTTAATGATTCAAAATATTACTTTAGATAATATTAAATGCATCTTTTAATGGTCACAGTTGAATATATATGTGTAATTGGATAAAGGTTAAAACAATAAAAAGTAGACACCATTCCTGCAACAACAATGTATTTGCAAATTCATTATAGATGCCATATAATTTAAATTCAACAAAAATAGAATAGTTATATATATTGTTATAACTTTTATTTTTAATTCATAATCTGTTAGTTTTGAGGTTTATGTATGTTTTTTGCCTTTTGAAAAACAGAAATGTGAAATAAGAACTATATTATTACAGCAGGATTTAGAGGGAACTTTACATCATATACAGATAGACAATGCCAGATTAGATGCTGAACTTAAACATGAGAGACAAAGGGTTGAACAGTTACAGAAAGATTTGCAAGATTCACAGAAAGTAAGTGATGGCATGTCACAAATTTCATAATATTTCAATGGTTGAAATAGAAATATCTTTTGCATGAAAATTTTAATACTCACAAATAAGTTGACATCAATAAATTAAACTTGATGAAATGTTACAGGTCTGTGTTGATCATGCTCCAATTTTTTAGATAAATAAAAAGTAGGTCAGGAAAGGAGTAGGCCCAGTAAGACCCATTTTTGGCCCCAAAATATAGGATTTTTACAAAGTTGTTAAAATGTAAACTTTAAGCTATTTATAAGAAAGTAAAATAAATTTGTTACATAAATATGGGTTGTTTTTGGCAATACAATGGACATGCATCAGGTACTAGCATCATTATGTCATGCAAAAATACTGAAATTTTCACAATTTTAGCATTTGTGCTAATTTTAAGACGGTTTTTGTCTAAAATGGAAGTGGCCGCATTTGTGTTCAGTCTTGATATTTAAATATATGTTGTATCTAATGATAATACATAACACATATAAATGTTGAGACTGAACACTAATGCGGCTACTTCCATTTTAGACAAAACCCATCTGAAAAGTGACGTTTAATGGAATATTTGATAGATTTTTCATTTTTGAGCTTGAATTTGAGCGTTTTTAATGACCAAATCAGTTGAAATCTTTGACATAAACTAATTGAATCGACTGAAGTAGACACTTAAGTGTTTAAAAAATCTCAAAAATCTTTCATCAGATGTACTTCAAATTTTAGGCCGAAATTAGCCCTTACCAGACCTTCTCCTTTATTTCATTATTCTCCAACCTTAGCATTAGTATTCTCCTTTTTAACAAACACTAAATGTAATATCATTATAGAGCAATCGCTCAATATTTCATCAATTTAAAAGAAACAACAAATTAACAGTTATAAATCTGAATAATCTTTATTTCTATAGTTAAGGGATTGCTTTTATATCTGAACCTAGAAAAATTTCAAGAAAACTTTCATACACCTGTCCCATTTATAAAGATATTAGTAGGAATAATCTCCAAATGGCATTTTTTATTTTTCAGGTTCGAAGTAGTATGGAAGCCTTGTGTTCAAATCTGAAATCAGCAAATAATATGTTAGAAGATAAGAGAGAGGTAATAATTGTAGAACCTTGTTCATGTGTTTAGAATATTGTCAAAAAACACTGAAAACTGTTCACTTATACTATAAGAATTATCTTGACCCCCAAGTATTGTCAATTCAAAGCCAAAATGTTCAGCATTACAGACGAGGCCATAAAAATGTACAAAACCACAGATGGATCAATACAATATTAATGTTTCATGCTGTTTTTAAACCAGGAAATATTTGAAATTACAAGTCCTTCTGTAATGTTATTTACCCGTGAACACAGATGGAATGTATTCTGACATGATGCCAGTCTTGGCATGAAAATATGCATCTTGACAACAGACAAATACCAAAATATTTGAGACTTGGAAAAAAAATCTTGACTCAATTTTCCGCATCATTAAACTTTTATTGAGATTTTTATCACTGGATATATTTCAGTCAAGTCCACAATTTATTTTTCTCTCCTCAACTTGGTTACAAGTATTTGAGTATTGAAATTGCACATGATACTGTATATTAAGATATTGATATTTTCCAGAAACAGTGTAATAGGGTAATTTTTGTAGGCACTATTGAAGAAACCATCTGTTAGTGGACTAGAATTATAAATGTAAACTTATCTTTTGCATATTTCACAGTGTGTTTATACAACTGTAGGATTCATTTTTTGACACATGACACATAATTTCTGATCATGTTTAAACAATATCATTATGATTTTGTAACACATATATTGATGTAGTAATTAATAATCATATGTATTTTTGATATATTCACAATGCTTCAACCTTTACTGAGTTCCTGTATGTTTCTATAAAGAAATGTGTTTCTGTAGAACCATAACTCAAAACTAAAGGGATCTTTAGGGCTGTTATTTTTGTTTAATTTTAAATTCATTCAATTGATGTGTTGTTAATTTTCAAGGCTTAAGAGAAATTTGTTTCTTTTTATGGGTACTTTATTTCATGGAATTGTTATGTTTTCCTATTAAGTAAAGTACCCAATAACTGAGAAAATATTTTTTGGTAAATAATTTTTGGTTCATCTCTACAGTGGTCCAACCCTTTTTAGGATCTACACTCCTATTAAAAGTATTTATTGTAATGAAAAATAAATAGTAATTTCTTTGTTAATAAACCCAGCACTAGAGAAAACCCATAAATAAGGCAACATTTCCAAAGCTTGAAGGGTTGATGTTGTGAGAGGGTGAAACTAGTGTTCCACATATAATCTGTACCCACATATGTTTATTATTTCTTTCATTCAGTAAAGGTTGATTATTGTTGTAAATAACACATTTAAAGGGAGATAACACTATTATTTCAGCATGTTCAGTCAGATAATAGCATGGACGTAAGTGGGAGCATTTTATTTTGTAAACTTTAGTGATTTCTATAGGTGGCTGGTTTATACTTGCTTTTTATTAGCTAGAACTAAATGCATGCTTTATTTCTATAGTGGTAATGGCATGGGGTCTATGATTTATCCTTCATTCCAATTACTCCTTGAGCTTATCTGAATTAAAACCACATCATTTTAACTTGCTTCTCTCTTAAGCATGACTTCCAGTCCATTAGTGTAGTTATTTCTCAATAGCTGTTTCATTTATTTTGATAGCATTACCACTGAAATAGTGTTGTCTTATCCTAAAGGATTTGCCATTTCCAAATAACAATAGGCAAAATCATTAATTCATTTCACTAAGTTTTAAAAATATTCTCACAATTCCAGTGATTGACCTCATTTTTCATTAGAAGTTAGGAAGAATAATTCCATTTAACCTAAAAGAATATTTATTTGTAAGAAACCTATTCATATTGGAAAATGAAGAAAATAATTTCTTCAAATAAATTAGTATTGATTTGGTTAAAACGTCACAAATATTGTTTTATTCAACAAATCTTTTTTTGTTATGGGATGTGGGGACCCGTCCTGCGTTCAGGAATCACTATATTGGGTATTGTCTTTTGCTGCATGTCAACATTTAGTAGAAATTATAGATTAGCTTGCTTTCCTCTATAATTCTTGCATGCTGCAGAGTGTTTACTATCATTACTATCTTTGAGCAATCTTTCCTGTGGCTTGTTTATATAGGATGAGGTGACCACTCGGGTACTGTTAACACAGGAAGCAGAAGAAAACAAGGAACTCTGGGAAAAAGAGGTTATATCACGTTCTAAACTTGGTCTCAGGGTGAGTCTATCTATCTTCTTCACTTTGCTTCATTTCTTGAGCTCTTTTTTTCTTTTACTAGTAGTTAGTAGTGATAGTTACAATTTTTCAAATATAACTTATGCCATTAATCAAATGATGATTTAATTTGTTATAACTCATGAATTTTACGTTTCATTTTTGATACATAATGATTAAGGCTAGAAAATGATAGATTAATTAAATTATCTGAGCATCTACTTGCATTCTAAATGTTATTTATTGATCAATATGTTAATATTTGTCAGCCAGTTATGATCTCTTACACATCTAGTAAAATAGGATAGGGCCACTCCAAACTGATTTGGTATTCTTTGGACCCACTTGTTCCTGAAATTTTAATACCATAAAACATTCATTCTTTGAGTTTAAAATATATTGTTTCCTTGGCATATTATATTTAAGACTGTTTATTAATAATTTGAGAGTTCATGTAAAATGATATTATTATCAGTCCATAAAAAGCCTTGTCCAAATTTTAAGCAAATAAGTGAAAAAAAAAACAACAAATAATTTGGTGTGGCTTTTCAGACAAAATATATGTTAAATTCATTCAAAAGTTTGAAAAATGGCACTTTTGCCAGTTGCCTAATACAAATACACCTGGTAAATACTTGAATGGTTTTAGGGTAAAATATATGATTGTATTGTGTGTTGTAGGTCTCACAGTATGAGAAACAAAGACAGGAAGCATTGTCACATTTAGAGGAGGTAAGCCATTTGTGAAAAACAAATCCATGTAATTTGAACTCTGGGGGACATTTGTCTCATTGGCAATCATACCACATCACCTTATTTTTATATTTTTATTCAAAATGTTTTCAAATAGTTACTGTGCAATGTTATTCCTGAAATGTATAATGTTCAAATCATAACTTGCAAGAAGTACAATGGTTAACATTTCATTTCTGCAAATTTGTCAGATATATATATATTTATCTTACCTCCTACAGTTCTAGGAATATCATTGGTTAAAAAAGCGACGGTGGTGTATATTTCATATTGGGATAGTAGGCATGGTTTATTTTAATACACTGTTAGTAGTGGTGTTACGTCCCTTTGTAAAAACTACACGACATTGAGGAAAAATTTGAAACATTTCGCCCGGACAACAGACGAAGAAAATTGATGATGAATATTTGAAATAAATGCAGAAAACACATTAAAAGCTAACAAGTTGTTATTGTTGGCATTTGTTTTTGTATGGACCAATGGAAGTAGGTTCTTTATATTGAAGACTTGATCACTTTGATAGACCACTAGTATAAATGTCACATGTTAAGATAGACAGTAAGATAAATTCGTTACACAGTATGCTTGTGAACTAATACCATATATATGGGGTCAGTAAATTTCACATGGGGTTCAAGCTTCGCTCTCACCCCATATGGAATTTACTGACCCCATATATATCGTATTAGGTCACTAGCACACTGTGTAACTATTAGTATGAGAAAATCCTTGCTTGCACAGTATATTATATTATTTATTAAAGATATTTAGGATGTACTGTACATTCTACTGCTTTGTTTTAAGATGTAGATTTGCTGTAAATTAAATGTAATCTTTTGTTATTGTAGGAAAGAAGAAAGGCAAGAAAAGCTACAGAAAAAGTGAAAATTGCTGAAACCAAGCTGGAAGCAGAACAAGAAAAGTATGTTTGTGTTTGAGTAGCTGCAAACTGTGCACACATTTAAGGATAATTAAGTGATAAGATAATTTTGCTCACTCTATTTATTAGAATTTATTCAAATTTTGGGTTTCACAAACGTATGTCTGTTTTCTTTAGATGACAGGGTATTTTCCTGACATATTCAGTTATGACTTTTGAAATTGTTTATGTATGTAAGATTTTTTATACGACCGCAAAAATTAAAAAATTTTTGGTCGTATATTGGTATGACGTTGGCGTCGTCGTCGGCGTCGTCCGGCGTCGTCCGAAGACACATTGGTTTTCGCACTCTAACTTTAGTTTAAGTGAATGGATCTCCATGAAATTTTACCATAAGGTTCAATACCACGAAAGGAAGGTTGGGATTGATTTTGGGGGTTATGGTACCAACAGTTAAGGAATTAGGGGCCAAAAATAAGCATTTTTGTAACTTCCAGACAATAACTTGTGTGTAAGTGTATGGATCTCTCTGACATTGTACCACAAGGTTCCATATCACAAAGGAAAGGCTGTAATTGATTTTGGGGGTAATTGCCTCAAAATTTTAGGAATTAGGGGCCAAAAAAGGGGCAAAAAACAAGCATTTTTCTAGTTTCATGACAATAACGTGTGTGTAAGTGTTTGGATATTTTTGAAATTGTACTACAAGGTTCCATATCACAAAGGGAAAGCTTGGATTGAGTTTGGGGGTAATTGCCCGAAACGTTTAGGAATTTGGGGCCAAAAAGGGGCCAAAAATAAGCATTTTTCTAGTTTCCAGACAATAACTTGTGTTCAAGTGTATGGATCTCTCTGAAATTGTACTGCAAGGTACCATACCACAAAGGGAAGGCTGGGATTGAGTTTGGGGGTGATGATTTATAAGGGGGGTTCAAAAATTTGGGGGTGGATTTTTTTTTTTTCTTTTTTTTTCTTTTTTTCCTTTTTTTTTTCTTTTAAAATTTTCCATTTTAAGTTGGTTATTTCTGATTAATATTTAAAAGCAAATAATAATGATATGGTAGGAGATACACACCAAACAGGATGTGTAAATTATTATCTAATAAGTATTGTGCAATAGCAAGAAATTTTCAATTGCACAGTATTGCACAATAGCAAGAAATCTTCAATTGCACAGTATTGCGCAATAGCAAGAAATCTTCAATTGCACAGTATTGCGCAATAGCAAGAAATATCCAATAGCACAATATTGCGCAATAGCAAGAAATTGTCAATTGTACAGTATTGCGCAATAGCAAGAAATATTCAATTGCACAGTATTGTGCAAAAGAAGATACTTCGTATAAATTGCTTATTTCTTGACCAATTTCAATGGGGTTTTTTATTCTTGAATTCTTGGGGTTCTTTAATATGCTGAATCTAACCGTGTATTAAGTTTTTGGATTTTGGTTCCGTTTTCAAATTGGTCTACATTAAGGTCCAAAGGGTCCAAAATTAAACTTAGTTTGATTTTAACAAAAATTGAATTTTTAGGGTTCTTTGATATGCTGAATCTAAACATGTATTTAGATTTTTGATTATGGGCCCAGTTTTCAAGTTGGTCCAAATCGGGGTCCAAAATTAAACTTTGTTTGATTTCAACAAAAATTGAATATATGGGGTTCTTTGATATGCTGAATCTAACCATGTATTTAGATTTTTGATTTTTGGGCCCCGTTATCAACTTTGTCCACATTAATGTCAAAAGGGTCCAAAATTAAACTTTGTTTGATTTCATCAAAAATTGAATTATTGGGGTTCTTTAATATGCCGAATCTAACCGTGTATTTAGATTCTTAATTTTTGGTTCCGTTTTCAAATTGGTCTACATTAAGGTCCAAAGGGTCCAAAATTAAACTTAGTTTGATTTTAACAAAAATTGAATTTTTAGGGTTCTTTGATATGCTGAATCTAAACATGTATTTAGATTTTTGATTATGGGCCCAGTTTTCAAGTTGGTCCAAATCGGGGTCCAAAATTAAACTTTGTTTGATTTCATCAAAAATTGAATTCTTGGGGTTCTTTGATATGCTGAATCTAACCATGTATTTAGATTTTGGATATTGGACCATAATAGGTGAATGTCCAATTTAAAATTTTTAAGTTCTTAGACCACATTCATTCTGTGTCAGAAACCTATGCTGTGTAAAATATTTAATCACAATCCAAATTCAGAGCTGTATCAAGCTTGAATGTTGTGTCCATACTTGCCCCAACTGTTCAGGGTTCGACCTCTGCGGTCGTATCAAGCTGCGCCCTGCGGAGCATTTTATTTGTCATTACATTGTAGGAATGTAGAACTACAGAAAGAATTGGCTACTATGAAAGGTTACTTGAAGATGGCAAAGAGGAAACTGAAAGTAAGTATACAGATATACATAATATGAATGAGGTGAATGTTAGATGCACTATGGAGCAGTAATATGTTGGCTACGGTGTTTTATCCTTACTTGTGGTGATCTGTGTACCTCAGTTGCTTTGCGCTATGATGTGTTTTATATCTATTATTTATAGCCACCATATGAAAAGCCTTTCCCTATAAATGAAAATTTATAGTCCATTGGCTTTTCATAACAGGATAGAATGCTACTGGATGAATTACAGACAAGAACCTGGCCTTGTGGTCAGAAAAAATTCAAGCACAATTCTCAGACTCAGAAATCAACCAATCAAAATAAGGATTTGGTGTCGCTAGCACAAATTTTGAACTCGGAGTACTGATTAAAGATTTATGCACGAAAGCCATGTTCTCTGTTTTGTGCTAGAAAGTAACCGATAATGTTTCTTTCAAACATGTTTTTATTTTTTTGGTATCTTTAAAAGCGTTAAACTTATAATTCACATAGAAATTGGACCCTCTGTGTAAAAACATTATCAGGAAATAGATTTTTCAAGGAAAATCTGTAATTGTTGCAATTTTAGTTGCTGCCAGTGATGAGGTGATGAGACAACTCAATGATTGTGTACCAAAGAGAAAAAAAATCACAAAATATATTTAAATTGTAGGACCCAGAAAGTGTAGGTATTAGAGTGCACCTTTTATCTGCTTTAAAAGTAACTGATACTATTGTAGAGTTTAGCTGATGTAGTGATAATTTACACTTGGAGATTATTTATATTGCACACAGATTTAACAGGGCTGACAGGAATGTTCTCAAAATAAGTTATAGTTTCCAAAAAAGTACCCTTGTATAAATTGATATATAGCAAAATTAACTAATTTTTTTTTTTAAGTTTTGAAATATGAAACCATAACACAAGAATTTCCAACAAAGTTCCTCATCCTCTTCAATTAGTCATCAAATCAATTTATTTGGTCATAGAGCTTCACATGTAAGGAAACATATTTATTTAACATTAATTGATTGATAAAATAATGCTGTCTCTATGGTATTGATTTTAAATTCTTTGCATTTAATTATAAATTAAAGAAGATTTGGGTAAACATCAGTGAGACAAACAAAAAATAAAAATAGACACCCAAGAAGAAATAATGAAATATAAAAATCTATCCATACCTCTTGTCATAAAGCTTGAAGTATAGGGGGTTATTAATTATTCCTTCTTTATTTGACATTATCTACATGACAACTTTCATACCCAGTCACTTTGAAGAATTTCCTGTCATCCCATTTACTAGCAGATTTGTAGTTTTAAATCTTATCTTGCAGTTACAGTGACTTTATTGATAATATCTCACAACATTTGTTTAATAAAAAAAAGTATGGTTCTTGGAAGAAATTGCAAATACTCTGTTTAATATTTCTGCAGTGTAGTAAATTCATGATTGGTTGTTGATCATTTAAGTTTCTACAATAATGTATTAAACTTTTATCTTTGAATATGAATGAAACCACAATTTTGATAGCAGTTTTTATACAAAGTGTCATATATAGACAATACATACAGATTATACTAAAACAAGACATTGCCTTACAGTAGTTTTAGTATATTTCCCAATTTTAGATTCATATAGTCTGTCACCTTTGTATAAGCAAATATGTACTGATACACCAGATGTAATATACATTTATATATATAGAATATCTATACTTTGTCTTCAAATTTAAGTATATATGTACAAGACTAAGAAACTGGTAGAATGTGAGGCCGAACATTTCTTACCTGTTTCTAGCGGAGTACAAATGAATTTTATACTTTTTATGCTGATAATTTTAGTATTCTCAGTATTTTCAAATAAAAATTTATAATTCAAGACAAACCATCAATTTTATAATTTTGATGTGACAGAGGTAAATATTCTGCAAACTTGTGTTCTTTGACGTCATAAGTTAAACTATACAGAAATGCATTAACATCATTACAAACAAGGTGATATACGGTCAGTGACTGTATCACAAATGACACAATAGCACAGTTGCAGTATAAAGTACTATTCTACACACAATGACATGAAAGAAGTTAAAATGTATTACACACCTATGAAACTCTTAAATTAAAAAGTAATCATTTGCATATTTATGCAAGGGTCATGAAATAGATGTATCTTTAACTAACTTTCTTTCTTTTGAGTTTGACCTATAACCTGTACCCTTTACTAAACAAAGTGCAAATACATATGTAATAGAAGTTGCTTCCCTTTGCATCACTGTTTCTTGTGTGGATAGCACAACTGTCTTAACATGTTATCAATCTAACATTGCACAGGTTCTGGACACGAGTGATTCACGTGTGAACACCATCATCACAGAATTTGACAAGGAAAGATTAACCATGGAAGGCACTCTCTCCGAGGCTAGACAACAGGTAGAATTACTTAATGTTGTATCCCATATGATAGACAACAGGATTGGGAAATTTTGTGTTTTCAGATTATATGCTTGGCAGTATTTCTGTTATTGCATTGATTGTATCACTATCAGTGTAACTATTAAGATGATAAAGAAACTTATGAATATATTGAAATATTGCAAATAAACTGATCTTTGATGTCTAATATAAGTTCAATTGTTAACTACTAGAAGAAAAAAAAATATCGGCATTGGTAAAATAATATATGGTTGTAATGGCTAGAGATCCCACCAAGAATGTGATGGTATTACTTATTTAATATTTCTGGCATTAATTATAATACTGTATTGTTATAAAGGAGGGAAACATGTGTCTCATTTGTTGTTAAATACATATATTGTTGTTTCCAATATTGTGTCTCATCTCCCCAAATATTTGTTGTGGTGTAGATTGCCAGCTTACAGCAAACCCTGGAAAGTGAAGCTGATGAAAAAGAAAAATTACATTCCAAAAATGTACACCTTCAGACAAAAATTGCCTCTCTGAAACATTTGGAGAAAAATGTTGACAAACTGGAAAATAGTAAATATAAATTGGAGGAGGACTACAAAATGTACAAGGTATCATGGGATCGTTACCACTGAGCATGCTTCACAGGAATGACAGAGTTGGAGAATTATTGCATGCGTTCAACCTTTTATTTTATTTTATTTTTTGGTGAAGGTCAGGTCTGCATGACATTTACAATTTTTGTCTCGCCTTGAGGGAGTCAAAAAGCGAGAAATAGGTATGCTGTTTCCAGCGTCGGCAGCGGCGACGTCAACAATGTATTAGTTTGTGATTAGGTCTAGTTTATGGTGAACCACTAGTGGTAGGTCAATGATATTTGGTATGCAGTTGTATTAGCATTGGCACATCTCAATACGATGGAGATTATTTGGCCCTGCCCCCTCAGTTAAGGTCTATTGTCTTTGAAACTTTGCTTAGTATACATGTATTAGTTTGTGATTAGGTCAGTTTATGGGGAACCACTAGTGGTAGGTCAATGATATTTGGTATGCAGTTTTATAAGCATTGGCATATCTCATTTCCATGGAGATTATTTGACCCCGCCCCCTCAATCATGGTCTATTGAATTTTAAACTTTTGCTTAGTTTTCATGTATTAGTTTGTGATTAGGTCAGTTTAAGGGGAACTGTTAGTGGTAGGTCAATGATAATTGGTATGCAGTTGTATAAGCGTTAGCACATCTCATTTCTATGGAGAATATTTGGTCCTTTCTCCTCAGTCATGGTCTAATGACTTTGAAACTTTTGCTTAGTTTACATGTATTAGTTTGTGATTAGGTCAGTTTAAGATGAACCACTAATGTTAAGTCAATGATATTTGGTATGCAAATGTATTGGCATTTGCAACTTTCATTTTCATGGAGATTATATAAACCCACCCCCTAATTATGGTTCATTGACTTTGAAACTTTTACATAGTTTACAAGTGAATGTTTATGTTTAGGTTTGTTTAAAGGTAACGACTTATGAAAAGTCAATGGTTATTTGGTTTGCAGTTGTATTAGCATTGGTACATCTCATTTCCATGGAGATTGTTTAGCCCTGTACCTTCAGTCATGGTTCATTGACTTTGAATATTTGCATAACGTTAAAGTATTGCTATTTTAATTTCAACCTTTGCATTATCAAAATAACAAATAGGCGAGACATATCTCTGTGTTAACAGTTTATTTTTGTTTGTCATGGAAACCCCCTTAAATGAATCTAAATTCCCTGCATTAAAATATTGTGTAAGAACTGCATGAATCTTGTAAAATGGATGCATTTCAGAACACTGTTTATGTTAATGTTGTGGTTCTTGGTTATCATTAAAATGCATGCAGGTTTCAAATACTTCCTGTATTGTCAGCAACATGTGAGATTTAATTGAAAATCCAGACGTCATGTTTACATACATGGCAGCATTTTCTCAAAACAAAGACGCTTGTGTTGTACTATGATTAGAATATTTGTTTGTCTTAACACTGGATCAGCTTTTATTTTATCACAAATCACAGTAATATACAAGAAAACAATATATTTCTTTTTTTTTCACCAAAAATTAATTAACTCAAGACATATAATGGTCATTTCATAGGTTTTTGTAAATTATGTTATTCTTTCTTTTGGTCTTGCCTATTTCTCTCAGTGATTCAAAGTGTTTATATTAGCAGAGGGCTTCAATTAAGCAGACTTATTTTGAAATTTATATGTAACTCTGTGGAAGAGAGGAATCATAATATTTTGTTGCACTGGTACTGTATTTTAAGCATTAAATCATTATAAATCTGTTTTCTCCTTTATCAAAGCAGGCCAAGATAGAAAATAGTTATGTCAACAAAGATGAGCTAAATCAAAAGGAAAAAGAACTAGAGGCCCACTACAGGCTTCAATTAAACAGGAAGTTAGATGAGATTAATAATTACCTGGAACAACAGGCCAGAGCTAGAGAAAGGCTTGATAACTCCAGGGATGAAACAGAATATAAAATCAAAGATGCCAGGAGAAAACTTGAGGTATGGACATGGTTTGTGTTTTGTTTAGATAAAAAAAAAGTGATGACTGAATTCTCATTATTTAGGCAAAAAGTGGGATAGAGTATTACTTGTAATGTGCAAAAACAAATATTGTAATTGATCAATGAAATTGATAATAGTTTCCTTGAAATTAAAGACCTAATCCACCTAATTTGGTCCTCCAAACTTTGATGATGGTATTTATAATTACAGGATGAAAACACATCTCTAAAAATACAAAATGAGCAGATCAAAGCACAAAAGGATAGCAAGGAAATGGAAGCCAAACGTTTCCGTGACCTGTATGATAGTGAAATGCAGTGGAGGATGAGACTAAGTGAACAGTTAGTACGGACTACAGACAAGGCATATGGGTACAAATCAAAGTTAGTGTAAGTGCCACTGGGTCTAGCTTAAATTAGCTTCTCTTGGTGGCTTTTTTCTCTTTCTGTCTCCCAAAAGTTACTTAAGATGTCAGACCACCAATTCATCCTCACTAATTTAGAACAAAAAATAGTGCTTTTGACATTGCTGTTTACTTAAACTAGCTGATGAAGTTAAAAATGTAACTTTTCCTGTGGGAAATATATTTTGATCATTTTGAGCTCAGATTGACTTGTACATGAACTCCCAACTCAATTTTAGGGTAGATGTGCTCAATAGTATTCTAATGAAGATTTTCAGTAACATAACATGCTATTTTTAGCTCACCTGACCTGAAAGGTCAAGTGAGCTTTTCTCATCACTTTGCGTCCGTCGTCCGTCGTCCTGCGTCCGTCGTCCGTCGTCCGTAAACTTTTACAAAAATCTTCTCCTCTGAAACTACTGGGCCAAATTTAACCAAACTTGGCCACAATCATCATTGGGGTATCTAGTTTTAAAAATGTGTGGCGTGACCTGGTCAACCAACCAAGATGGCCGCCACGGCTAAAAATAGAACATAGGGGTAAAATGCAGTTTTTAGCTTATAACTCAAAAACCAAAGCATTAAGAGCAAATCTGACACGGGGTAAAATTGTTCATCAGGTCAAGATCTATCTGCCCTGAAATTTTCAGATGAATCGGACAACCCGTTATTGGGTTGCTGCCCCTGAATTGGTAATTTTAAGGAAATTTTGCTGATTTTGGTTATTATCTTGAATATTATTATAGATAGAGATAAACTGTAAACAGCAATTATGTTCAGCAAAGTAAGATTAACAAATAAGTCAACATGACTGAAATGGTCAGTTGACCCCTTTAGGAGTTATTGCCCTTTATAGTCAATTTTTAACCATTTTTCGTAAATCTTAGTTATCTTTTACAAAAATCTTCTCCTCTGAAACAACTGGGCCAAACTAAACCAAACTTGGCCACAATCATCATTGGGGTATCTAGTTTAAAAAATGTGTGGCGTGACCCGGCCAACCAACCAAGATGGCGGCCACAGCTAAAAATAAAACATAGGGGTAAAATGCAGTTTTTGGCTTATAACTCAAAAACCAAAGCATTTAGAGCAAATCTGACATGAAGTAAAATTGTTTATCAGGTCAAGATCTATCTGCCCTGAAATTTTCAGATGAATCGAACAACCTGTTGTTGGGTTGCTGCCCCTGAATTGGTAATTTTAAGGAAATTTTGCTGTTTTTGGTTATTATCTTGAATATTATTATAGATAGAGATAAACTGTAAACAGCAATAATGTTCAGCAAAGTAAGATCTACAAATAAGTCAACATGACTGAAATGGTCAGTTGACCCCTTTAGGAGTTATTGCCCTTTATAGTCAATTTTTAACAATTTTTCGTAAATCTTAGTAATCTTTTACAAAAATCTTCTCCTCTGAAACTACGTGGCCAAATTAAACCAAACTTGGCCACAATCATCATTTGGTTATCTAGTTTTAAAAATGTGTGGCGTGACCTGGTCAACCAACCAAGATGGCCGCCACGGCTAAAAATAGAACATAAGGGTAAAATTCAGTTTTTGGCTTTTAACTCAAAAACCAAAGCATTTAAAGCAAATCTGACATGAAGTAAAATTGTTTATCAGGTCAAGATCTATCTGCCCTGAAATTTTCAGATGAATCGGACAACCCGTTGTTGGGTTGCTGCCTTTGAATTGGTAATTTTAAGGTAATTTTGCTGTTTTTGGTTATTATCTTGAATATTATTATAGATAGAGATAAACTGTAAAAAACAATAAATGTCGGCAAAGTAAGATCTACAAATAAGTCAACATGACCGAAATTGTCAGTTGACCCCTTTAGGAGTTATTGCCCTTTATAGTCAATTTTTAACCATTTTTTCGTAAATCTTAGTAATCTTTTACAAAAATCTTCTCCTCTGAAACTACTGGGCCAAGTTAATTATAGATAGAGATAATTGTAAGCAGGAAAAATGTTCAGTAAATTAAGATGTACAAACACATCACCATCACCAAAACACAATTTTGTCATGAATCCATCTGCGTCCTTTATTTAATATTCACATAGACCAAGGTGAGCGACACAGGCTCTTTAGAGCCTCTAGTTAGTAGTAGGGGACTTTCAGAACATCTTGTGTCACTACAAAACTTTAAACAATGGTTGAAAATTGGCATGTAGAAAGTTGACACATGTATAATTCAGAATATGCATGGTTTTCATGAAGTTAAAATGAAGGTTAAATGTTAAGAGAGCTGTGAAATTTGATAAATTTTGTTGAATGAAGAAGGATTTTGACATGGTTGTCTGACACCTATAGCTTTATAGCAATATATTAGCATTTCTATATCTTGTAATAAATATCCATTTCGGACCATTTTCTTGTGTAATAATGTAATTTATCAAATCTTGTTTCTTTATAAAATTTCTTTCATGGGAATTGAATAAACAAATTTTTTTTTGACAAAATGTGTGACAGATACAGATTTACACTTTTGTTTTGAAAATTTGATAATTGTCCAGAGGGACAATAATGTTTTTCTGGTGGTGGCCTAAACTATTTGTGTAAAGCTTAATATTTAAGAAGCTAGAAGAGCTGCATAATCCATATCTCGAAGAACAGAAGCTTTATGGTCTTTCATATATGGGCAATAATTTGGTATTGGGACCGTTTCCGATAAGGATAGAAAAGTGATAAAATATTGTATTTTGTTGAGAGAAGTTGTTGCTCCACCATCAAATGCTATTATTTCTATTAAAATATAGGTGCTTTCTAATCTCCCCTAGAGAGAACTTGAAATAAACAAATATTTAAGATTATTTGGCCACTTTTGTATGTCATTTCTTAGCGTTATTTTCGCTTCCGAAGTGCGTAACGCTGCCCGATTGAAAGATAATCGTCGCCTGCAAAATCGTAACTTTTGCTTTCAAATAATAAAGAACATCGATCAAAAAGAATAGTCAGAAGAAATTGCCGAGAACTATAACTATTTTTGTAGCAGGTGTAAGAAAAGTAGCATTACTTTGGTTTCCGATTTCGTAACGCAAATTTTAGATGGTGTAGTCTGCTTTATTGTAAATGAATTCTTCATAACAATATGCAAATATGAACTCTCGCGAGATGTTCAAACAGGTAAATCAGTGATTATTTACATTCTAGTTTTGTTCTTCGTAATAATTAAGTTAGAAAATGACGTTATCGTTATGCGTTACATTTCACACAAAACAGAAGTCCAGTTATTTACTTTTTATTTATTAAAATTGTTTTTGTCGTTCAGTCCAAATCATTTCTGGTCATACGTGAAACATGTGGCGAACATGTGATTAAGCGCTTACGGCCGGGTATATAAAATATTAGGTCTAAACATCGTTTTTGTTTCCAACGGGATAGTAGCAAGCACATTCTGTAGACTGTTTTCATATTGTTTAAAAAAGGAAAATACAATTTTCAAAGAGATCGCGACGGGGGTCTATTATTTTTCCTACGTGCATAATGTTACATACTATCTTGAGTTAAAATAAATGCCCAATGACTTGACAAAATCGATTTCTTATTCGAGGGACGTTACAACACCCTTTGTTTCCGGATAACGATGAAAAGATTCCTTGGAGAATTCATTCAACATTACGTCTCTTATCATTCTGCCGCTGCTCGTTGAATTGATTTTGCTTTAGCAGTAAATTGTACTTGATATTTTAGGTAAATGAAGATAATTTTTTAAAAAATACATGTTGATATACCGTTACACTTGGAATGTAGAGAGTTGGTATCTTTGTCACAATTTATTTTTTTTTTAATTTAAATAATATTCAGCAAATACTTTTCAAAAATGCAATAATATTGTCAAAGGAGAAGTAAACTTTTACCATGCATGACTTAAAAGGAAGTACTTTATCGATTTTAGCCCACTAAAGAAGGCTAACATGTGGAAACCATGTAGATGGTGTACAGGTCACAAATATCACATGATGCCTACTATAAGATTTTAGTTCCAAGTTAAAAGTTTTTTTTACTTTACTGGATTAATAGGAATTTGACATTGGAATTAATTGTATAAAACTGGAATTTCAAAACCAATAATTACATTTTTTTGGCTAAAACATCAAGATACAATGATTATGGTATCCTGTATCATTTAAGAAAACGTGGAAATTTCTGAATAAATTGCACTATTTTTTTTCAAAACAAACACATATTTAGGAGTTTTATAGTAATACTATTACATTTAAGACAGATTTTAACCAGAGATGCAAATCTAAATGCATAAGTATGCCAGTAGTAAATCAATACATGGAAACCGCCAATGTTGTATCCAGTTCAGTTGCATGCGTTACAATTTCATAGCTTTTCAAAAGTGTTATTTCCCTTCAGGTAAGTAGTGCCGGTTCACTGCCTGCATGGCCAATATATCAAAACAGTTTTCTTTTCAACTTAAAAGTAACATTTTGCTTTGAAAATATGTTCACCTATATCAAATTTGCCATGATAAAACATTGCATGAAATAACATGTCACTTTAATGTTGACATTTAAAATAAGCTTTTTAGCTCACCTGGCCCGAAGGGCCAAGTGAGTTTTTCTCATCACTTGGCGTCCGTCGTCCGTCGTCCGTCGTCGGCGTAAACTTTTTACATTTTGAACTTCTTCTAGAGAACCACTGAATGGAATGAAACCAAACATGGCATGAATGTTCCTTATGAGGTGCTGACCAAGTGTTGTTACTTTGTAGCCGATCCATCATCCAAGATGGCCGCCAGCGGTGGACTTAGTTTAACATAGGACCCTATGGGAAATACATACAAATGTCTTCTTTTAGAGAACCACTGAATGCAATGAAACCAAACATAGCATGAATGTTCCTTATGAGGTGCTGACCAAGTGTTGTTACTTTGTAGCGGATCCATCATCCAAGATGGCCGCCAGCGGTGGACTTGGTTTAACATAGGACCCTATGGGAAATACATACAAATGTCTTCTTTTAGAGAACCAC